GGTTTATTAATATGAAATTTGATTGGTTAAATTTGAAGGTACGATATTTTATTTAAAATTTCTTTTATATGGTTTTAACATGTATTAATTTTGTAGGATGGAATATCATATCGACAACGATCTGAGGGCTCATTCGGGAAAAGTTACGACGTATTGTAACTTTTCCAGCTATGCGACAGTACTTGAGGGGCTGGACGAGGAGCATATTGACTTACTCCGTCGATCATTTTTATGGTCGTTCTATCCGTTGAAGGACGTGCAGTTCTCTGGACAGATTGTTGATTCTTTATTACTCCGGCTGCTTAAACCAGTCGATGGCGATCAGTTATATTTTGCTATTGGGGACGGGAAGGTATGTAGATTCTCGATCCTTGAATTTGCCCTGATTACGGGCTTGAGATGTACCGGGGAAGAAGAAGCTAGAGCCCGTATTATACGAAATAAAAGGTTATTGGATTTATATTTTGGAGGTAAAGGGCCAGTTACACCACCACAGTTAGAGGATGCATTTAGGAAATGCGATCACATGTTAGACAAGTTGAAGTTAGGGTTGGTGTATATACTGGAGAGTATATTGAGGTGTCGACATCGTAGGACGTCGATTGATCTTTTTTCATTGGATGTTGTTGATGATATCGATGCTTTCAACAGCTTTCCATGGGGTCAGAGATGTTACACCGATACTCTCCATGTATTCAGAAGGGTACACACTATGCCGAAATCGGAGAGGGGCGATCGCAAATATGATGTATATGGCTTTTGCATGGCTTTGCAGGTAAATATTCAGTGTAACGTAATGCGTGTTGAACTTTTTTATTAAATGTATATGTAAAGTTTTATTTTGTAATTGTTGCAGCTGTGGGCATATGAGGCTATCCCTGCTTTGGGTAGCAAATGGGCGATCAGAAGGGAGACTAGCTGCCCACGAATGCTTCATTGGCGAGCACATGAAAAGCCATCGGCTAAAGATTTGATAGTTATCCTCGACGATCCTCAGGTGAGTATTATATATTTGCAATTTATATTGTACATACATTTGCTCGGGTCGATACATGTTCGTTAACACGTTGAAATATGGTATGTCAGCTCGAAGTTCATGCTGAGTTGGTTGTCTCGGTGGAAGAGGAGGATGCAATATATGTACGTGAATTACTTGTTCCCCCTACTGAAGACGATCCAGTATTTGAGTACGTTCCGGATAGAAATATAGTACGTTTATTTAAGTTCATTATTTATTTTGACGTATAAATTCATGTGCGGATTATTAATATTAATTGTCTTCTCTGTGTAGGAGCGCCATCCGGAACTTCCACTTAGGAGATCTCCTTCGCCTCCACTGATGAGATCTCCGTCACCTCCACCGATGAGATCGCCTCTACCGCCATTATCTCATTCTCCGAGGATATCTCCGTCTCCCGTACCCACCCACCTCCCACATGGATCGCCTACACCCAGTCAGACCCGTCATTCAGATGATTTCTTTGCACGCATGACTGGCATTATTAGAGAGGAGCTGGGAACGATGCGCCGTGATTTTATGACAGAGGTAGTCGCATTAAGAGGGGAGATAGGGGTATTGCGACGGGATTTTACGACAGAGATCGTCGCAGTACGAGAGAAGATAGGGGTGCTGCGACGAGATTTTACGACAGATATAGTAGCTTTGCGAGATGAGATTGGAGTGCTGCGACGAGATATATGAGACCTTAATACTAAGGTTGCAGCACTTCGAGGCGATGTAGCAGGTGTCCGAGGGAATGTCGGGGAGACTGGTGTCCCTCGAGATTGGTGGGCAACGGCCGGGGGAATCAATGAGTTTTTTGGTTCGGTGCCGGAGGCCAAGAGGGAGGGGTGGAGGTCGGGCAGGAGGAGCCGGAGGAGGCCGTGATGCCCGGGGTGGAGGTCGGGCCGGAGGTGCCGGAGGAGGCAGAGATAGAGGGGGTGGAGGGAGGGACAGGGGTGGTCGAGGAGGTAGCGGAGGGGACATCAGAGGTGGTAGTAGAGGGGGATGATCAGGTTGCGGAGGATGAGAGGACGCCGGAGATGACGGATGACGAGGTAGTATTCGTGTCCGAGGGGGCGACGGAGGTCCCGAAGGGTAAGAAGCGTGCTGCTGTCGCGCCAGAGCTGATGGTCGGTAAGAGATCAAGATTGTCGTCACAGTACGTCGTTTCTCCCTACACGGTCGAGGCGAAGAGAAGGGGATTTGTGGATGGGGCGTACCCCAATCTTTTTCGCGACGTCGACCCAGTCAGACAGAAGGCGTTCGATGATTGGTTCAAATCCCTTAAGTCCGAGTAAGTATTTTATGATGTTGCTACTATTTTTTTGTATCTTTGGTAACTGTTTTTTCATTTTTCAGAGATAGTTATACCATCGGCTGTATAACCGTGCCCAATGCTAAAAAGTGGTTTGAAGATGTACTGACGACCTCAGCTTAGCTCGCTGATGATGTAAGTTTTTTGAGTTTCCGTTTATTATATTTATACAAGTTGTTGGTTCATTTACTTAAATGACTCTATCTATTGCTCTTTCTACTACAGAGGCCGAGTATATGGTCATGGCAGAGGGAGTGAAGGAAGCATTGTGGTTATGGGGACTTCTAGATTATTTGGGGATTGAGCAAGAGTGCGTGGACTTGTGGTGTGATAGCCAGAGTGCGATTCACTTGGCTAAGAATCATGTTCATCATGCTCGAACCAAGCATATTGACGTTAGGTATCATTTTGTGCGTGATGTTATAGAGGAAGGTGATATTTCACTCTCGAAGGTACACACAAATGAGAACCCAGCTGACATGTTAACCAAAGTGATAACGGGTAGCAAGTTTCAACATTGCTTGGACTTGCTTCACATTAGTCCATGTTGATATACCCATGTGGGCATGGCCCTTCAGGGTGGGATTGAAATGAGGTGGAGAGTATATGAAGGTGGAGGTGAACTACGGAGGCTTGATCCCGAATTTTGGGTACGTAGGCAATCATGGTTTGAATGATGCAGCCGAGTCTTGGTGCTTGCTACTTCTTCTTCTTGTGTTCGTCCAAAATTTGAGGTCTATCAAATGATGTACGAGGTGGAGAATTGTGAGAAGAAAAGAAGCTGAGAAGAGAAGAGAAGCTGAGAAGAAGCAAGCAGTGCCTAGGCGCTGGAGTGGGCACCTAGGCGCCATGTCCAGGCGCCTAAGCGCCCCGAGTGCAAAATTCAGCAGAAACTGGGCGCCTAAGCCCCCCGATAGGTATTTATATTGCCATTTTTTCCCTCCTTCATTAAGTTATATCCCTTGAGCCCGATTTTAGAGAGAAAATTGAGAGAAAACTTGGAGAGAATTTTACAAGATTGAAGGTTGTTCATCTTGGGTATAAATTCAAAGTTATTTTCTTTCTTGTAGATTAACTTGAGGCTTGTTCAAGTAATCCAAATACATGTTCTTTATTTATTCCATCGAAATCATTTCTTCCTCATTTTCTTATTCTTGAAGTGGTTTGGAAATTTTCACATTTTCAACTTTATTTGATCTTTGGGCAAAATTTGGGAGGTGTTTTCCCAACAACATGAATCCTACATCTCTTCCTGTTCTTGAAGATTATAATTTTAAGATATTATAAGAAAATCTTGGTTTGTACCTCAAAATAATCAGATAAGGTGCACGTGTGAGAGTTTCTCCTCGTAAAGCATATAGTTTACCTCTTATCCTGTGAGTATTATAAACCAATGAAAAGAATCAATCAATCACCAATGCATCCAACAGAAGCTCGAATACTCCAAAGAGAACAGATGAACTAGTTAATTACCTCGTCTTGCTGTGATTTCTTCACCGACTGCTGGGCCTCTGCCTTCTTCCGAGCTGCATATTCGGCCGCCTTCTCTTCAGTCGACACCACCACATCCTTAGCAGCA